TCCCATGAACTCGACTTCCACATTTATCAATCTATAACCTAGTCCCATCCCATTCCCATAGAAACGACATTCACATTTACCAGTCTGTAACACAATGTCATCCCAATCCCATGCACTCGACCTCCACATTATGCACTCATTTTACTTCCTTCTTTTAAATATTGAAGGAAAAGTTATTTGTCCGTATAATCATACGAACTGCCAATATGAGAGACATTAAATTTGTTGATTGCACCAAATCGTTACCTACGCAATTTAAGTCTGTCTCTCTACGTGTGCACACACATACATAGTTTGGTTGCATATATATATATATATATATATATATATATATATATATATATATATATATATATATATATATATATATATCTATATCTATATATATATATATATATATATATATATATATATATATGTATGTATATATATATATATATATATATATATATATATATATATATATATATATATATATATATATATATATATATATATATATATATATATATATATATATATATATATATATACCATACCTGCCTTTGATATGGCATTCGTCATTCGAATTCAATTCAGGGCTTGTCCCTTTTCATTGATATTTGGCAATAAAACGCTTTTGAAATTGTTAATGTCATCGTACAGTCAAGCTGCATAAAGAATATTATCCTTGTTTGCATAAATATGATTATGAAATTAAAAACGTCTTGGTTATGAGTTTAAAAAGGGAAGGTAATTATTCAAATTTCTTTTGGCAAATGTATAAAAAAAATTTCGGGAAGAGATTGGATTATTTTGTAATAAGTCTTTACTTCTGGTCCACTTCAAAAAGATGTTATATCTACGTGAGACAATGATATACTAATAACACTTGCGTTACAATTGCACACGGTGAAAACAAGATAAAGTTTAAGCGCAGTTGTTATGGAGAGACACTACCGTTATTTGGTTAAGTTTAAAGTACAGATGCATCAGATATTAAGCACCTGACAACTACAACAACAACAACAACAACAACATACACACACCCGCGCGCAAAAAAAACCTCCAAAAACAGGAGAACAAACTGTTATTATTACAAACAGTCTAGCTGAACAAGTGATTTGTTTTTGTTTTTTTTTTTTGCTTTTAACGGCACTTAGAAAAATCGACCCGCCCCATTGATTTTTTAAATGGTCAGTACATTATAGTTAATGAATGACTTGTCTCTGTTAATTGTTATATATGTTGTTATCTAAAAACTAAAATGGGATGATTAAGTTGGCACTAGTGTTGACTTTATAAAAGATATTGTGCTGATCTTAGATCGTTTGTTACTAAAATAAAGAAACGGTTGCACAGAAGCCTACAATATACTGGCTGCATTTTTGATATAACAGGCAGGGAAATTTTGAGTGCCAGCACCCGGTGAAAGTATTTATCGGAGAGAGTCAGTAAAAATAAAACACACCGACTCAACAAACTATAAAATATTCAGTGTGCTTGAGAAATTACGTAAAATGCAAACAGAAAAAAATTCTGAAAATATTAGGATGATTCGCCGTCTTACAAAGGAAGGTATACACGTACTTAAATTATTAACATACGCTAGTAAATATATTTTTAAAAAATTACATTTTCCCTAAATGTTTCAAAAAGTTTTGATTTTATCCGAATACCTGTCACAACATCCGAGCTGGCCACCTAGCTGGCATACGTGAAAAGTACCAAACATGTCATTAAAGGATCATAAATTGAATTATATTTGTAATAATCAGAATTAATTTGTGACAAAATACAACCAAATGGTAAAATATATCATACTCTATTTAATTACTTTTTCATGCAGAATGAAAACACATTGTTACTATAACTGAAATCGTAAAGAGGTTACTCGGTTATTTACCTTGATACCTTACTGGCATCAGTGCACAATTAATAAAATCCGGTTCAGTACACACGAATGTAGTCCCAGTCTATTGTTAAATCGCCTTTTCCTGTCTCCGTTTGGTGGTGTTACAAGACTTATATTTTGGCATTCTTGGTAAGGATTTAAAAGCAATTGTTTATTCTTTAGAATGTGAGCTTATGGTGTGGTTGTCTGTGTGTATTTCGGCGACAGTGCACAGTGAGTAAAAAGGCCATGGTGATGATTCGGAAGTGAAATCTGTGATCCGTTGTATGGTGTTTTGTTTACAATTCAGCCTCTCAAAAAATGCAGGTCAACCCTTGACAAGAACTTCACCGTAAAGTCATCTTTGAAGGTATTTTAAATTAACATATGATTTGTATTGATTGTCACTGAGAAACAAATGTAGAGACTATATAGTAAAATTGATTGTGTTCTATGGCCTGTTACTGTCAGAAACTACCGAAATATCAGTACAGTGAAAACGTACTGTGATACATATCACAGGAAAACAAATGTAGCTGTAAACCGGTGTACCGCTAATAATGCGCCCTACTAATAAACACAACATGGGACAAAAGTATGAAAATAAATAAATGTATTGCTGAGTTTTTTAAATAAATTTTTATAAAAATGGTTTGATTTCATTTCTATTATCAGTTTGAGCGGGACGTTTGCACAAAGAGCTGATAGTCGTAGTATTTGTTGTCATTATCGTCGTAGTATTAGTTTTTAGTGGTGGCAGCAATCACATAAATATAAGTAACACTAGTAATACTAGTAACAGAAGTAATGTTTTAAATGTAAAGAAATCGCGGTACTAAATTAGTTTATTGTTTTTTTTTTCACGCGCCATCTCTGTTATCGCTAACATCGTCATCGCTTTTGTCATCTTCGTCATCGTTATGGTCATCGTCGCCAACATCATTAGCAGCACATATTCATTCATTAATATATTAATTTATTCAGTTAACCATACATGACAATTATTACCATCTCTTAAACAACCATGTAATATAAATACAGAACAGAAATCTTTAAAATATGTAATATTTTCTGCCTGTTCAACCGAGTCTCGAAGATTATTTTACTGTTGTCATTAAATAAGTAAAAATTAATTATATGCATGACCAAACGAACCCAAAACGTAACCTACAATGAATTTGTGTATATAAACTAACACATAATCTACAATGAATTCGTGTATAGAAACCAAAAACTTTGCATGCACTGAATTTGTATAGAAACCACAAACTTAACCTATACTGAAATTGGGTATAAAAACCAACACATACGACCTTCATGCGTATAAATAAAACAGCGTGTTGACTTCCTGTTTTCTATGACTCACCAGTAAGGTAATTAATATAAATTGTTTTATTATCCTTACCCTAGGAACAATTATACATGCATCTGACAATCTCAAAAGGACAGGTGGAAGATTTCCAAATATTGTTACCTGTAAAGTAGTAGCCATAAACTCATTCGTTCAGCAAACAGACATGAACCTACGGGTAAACAGACGGGTCATTAGGAGCAAATAGACAGGGATTAACTGGAATATAGACATAGCCTTGCTAGTAAACAGGCAGGGCCTTAATGGCAAACAGACAGGGCCTTTATTGGTAAATAGACATGGGCCCTACTGGTTAATAGACAGGGCTTTTCGGGTAAACAGGCAGGACCTTACAGCTAAATAGACAGGGTCTTACGAATAAATAAACAGGGACTTACGGGTTAATAGACATGGTCTTACAGGTAAACACAGAGCAAACGTACCAACCCAAACCCATCAATCAGACTTATAATTGAAATGCTTACCGTCAGTGATTGTGTTCTGCTTATATAAGTTATTCAATTGCGATATGAACCATTTTCACCTGAATTACTTACATTAAATCAACTGTACATACTATACATAAAATCAACCGACGGCGACGAAAAAAAAATAAAAAATTAATAGCAGAAGCAGTGAATCTGCATTCAAATTTCTTATATAAAATATTCTGGTATTTCCTTATAAATGTATCATGAATTATGAATAATTAATATTCATCTATGATTATCTCAAACAAATATTGACATATTTAGATGGAAACTCGATATTCTGAATTAAAAGTATGTGTGGCATTCGTTAAATGAAGTCTGTTCAGGCGGAAATACGTGTAATTTAGAATATTATCTAATTTATTTTATACACCGAGTTGAACTGCTTGATTTAAAACAATTTGAATGCAAGAGACTAGGGATGTAGACAGACTCAGATATTTTCAATTATCAACTTTACGAGACTGGGAATGTAACCAGTTTGAAATAGGTCTAAATTCTCAACTGTACGCTGTGCTGACGAGGTAATATGCTTAAGAAAAGAAAAAGGCCGAAAAACCATGCTATATAAATATCTAGCATGTTTTGGCGTGTTCATCAATAGCTTTTAAAACTTCGTATCAATATGCCTGTAATTACACTTCAAACATTCCGCTACGAATACTCATTAGGCAAACACAGTAAACAATATCGTGAATAAGTCATTTCTGGAATGTACATCTTAGCTAGTGTTAATCTGCGCCTTCATTCTGTCGTGCTGAAAGCTGCCTGCAATATTGATCGTCGTAATGACCGCCAAGGTCGTTGTCGTCATCTCCACGGTCATCCCTATAAACTTTAACATACTAACCACATCAAAAGGACCACCACCAAACTCACCAGCAACAACATCGTCGTCAAACATTTGATGTGGCATGGTCTTTCTTTAATATACTCCTCAATTATATGACAAGAATAAATAAACAGTGAAAATGACAAGAATAAATAAACAAAGGGACTCGTGTGTGTGTGTGTGTGTGTGTGTGTGTGTGTGTGTGGTGTGTGTGTGTGTGTGATTTGGATTTTTAACGTAGCTTTAACAATTTTTTTCTGTAACATTGCTACGATGTCTGCAGTGAGGCAATTTATAGTGATATTTAGCACTGGAGCATCATGCCGCAGACATGTAGCATGATGTCCCAACCAGTCACATCCTGACACCTGGCCGACCAGTCCTAACACTAACCTCTTAATGCTGAGCGCCAAGCGAGGCAGCTGTTAGTACCATTTTTGTAAGTCTTTGGTATGACTCGGCCTGGGATCGAACCCACGACCTCCCGCATTCGAGGTGGACGCTCTAAGAACTCGGCCACCGGATCGGTATTCAACAAACAAAGGGACATGGACAACAATAAATAAATAGAGCGACAACCCTAGAATATTGGAAAACGTGTTTTTCTATGTACAGGTATTTTATTTGTCGATCCATTCTAAGAGTGAAATAGTATTCGACACCCAAAAAAGAAGAAAAATCTAGGGTGCATTGAACATGTAAAATGGATACTCTGACGCAGTCAAGCATTAACTCGAGAAATATATAATGAATACTACACTAACTTTTAAGATGATACCAAACTACCAATGAAATATGTGCACAAACGAAACGCGTTGGCAATCAACAAAACAACTAAAGGTGTTCATAATTAAACAAACATATTACGGAAACCCTGCAGTGACAACTCTAGAAAATAACACATATGTGACGGAAACTCAGCAGTGATAAGCTTAGGAGTTGACAAAAATATTTCGGAAATTAAGCTGTGATAACCCTGAAGTAACAACATTACAAAAACTCGAGAATGACAACTTTTGAATACAGCAAAATAAATATTACATAAGTTCAGCAGCGACAACCCTAGGAAACTCTGAATTGACAATCCCAGAATTCAACAAAAATATTACTGAGACTCAGCAGCGACAACCCAAGAACACAACATAGAAAATACGGAAACTCGGGCAATGACAATCCTAAAATGTAACAAAAACGTTAGGGAAACTCAGCTGTGACAATGTTAGAATAAAAAACAAATCCGGCAACATATCAGTGACAACTCCAAAATACAACAAAAATATTATGGAAACTCAGCAGTGACAACACTAGAATAGATATATATTATTATCAAAGCAATGTGGTCTTGATTGGTAGATAACGTGACACGGATCATTACGCGACGCGCATAAATATCTGTTTCGTATAAGTAGCACCAGTAACAACAGCAACTAGGTTTCACCAGGCACATATATATGATTTACAGTTATTGTGTATTTGTCAAATTTTGCATTACGGAAGATATCACCCGCTGAATAACTAGGAAAGTTTCTATCCGAAGTCCAACTAATAGTTTTTGAAAAGTTTCTGGCTGGACTTTGTGACAGGCTCCGATGCTAGGACAACATTATTTTGACAGTTAATTACAATGGGACTAAACAAATTGCTACGGCATAGTTATTCACACTTGTTCACTTATAACCAGGAAATGAGAAAAATTAGTTCCAGCCTTGTTTGAGAGCAATGTAGTATGAATTCGGAAAACGATATTATCGTGTTCCTATTTTTTGTGATTTGACGGTAACATTTTGGCTCATTCTTGAGTAGAAAATTGATAGGTATATAATGACAGGGCCAGATCAGATAAGGTGGGGTAGGGTGGGGTGGGGTGGGGTGTTTTCAAAATTTCGATAGGGCCGTGACTTTCTTCGAAAGGGCACCAAAAGAAAAGTATATGTGTCTATTTACTCGGTGTGCATAATACCAATAAGTGTGCGCAAGTATAAAACGATGATCAAATTTCAAATGTCAAGTGACTACGTGTGTGTGTACGTTTTGTTTGTTTTTTTTTTACTAGCGGGGATGGGGCTGTAAACCCCGGAATCCGCCATTACCCAATCCGGTTCTGTAATAAAATACAATGTTGCGGAAACTCAGCGGTGACAATCCTAGAATACATCAGGATGTAAAAGTTAATTTAGTCTGTAAAAATGAATTTAATTACGCCTTAATTAATCATTTGTGACTGCTGTCGTGGTAAATTGCATGGTAAATCAAGGTAAAAAGTTACTAAGTTACATTCCTCATCATTCAGTCTCTTAACTGAATTATTTTCCCTCAAGCTGTGCTAATTAACACATTTGTTAAATTTACTCTTACGTTTTCTCACCATTAACAAACCGCAAGATTTTTGTATTAGTTTGACATAGGTCACTTTCAATCCACAAACTATGCATGTTTTTACCTGCTCATACCTGTGCGGGACTTACCCGTATAATATGTAACTAAGCGTATAACATAATTAGCACTCTATAGCCAATAATTAAGTGCATAACATAATTAGTACTAGGAGTTATTTCCTAGCTGTGCAATAATCTTGCCGTCGCACACCTTAATCCGGTACCGGTAATTTATTTTCAATTTAATCTGACGGCAATGACAAAGACATTTCTTTATATAGCTATATAGCTGTTGTTAGCGATAAAATATTGTGTTATCAAACCTAATTGTCCATTCAAAAACAGATTGTGATAGGCACTATTGGTTAAATTTGAATCCAAAAACGATCAATTCACGGGCCGGTCTCTTGCCGCCTGTTTGTTAGATACGGCTCATATTTACTCCGTGTTAAGAGAGTTTATGTTGCGATACGTTAGCCCTATTACACTGTTTAGGGCACCAAACGACACAGTCAAAATAACAGTGTATGTATGGTTCTTCTGTTTATGGTCAACATTCACAATATTCAGAAAGGAGTTCATTCAAGTGGAAATTGGATAACAAATACTAAAGTTTTAACTATTTTTCTTTCTATATTAAACAATAACTGATTTATCAGGGCATCAGGAAAGACAACTCTGAAAACGCGTGAACTCAATTGCAAGTACGTAATAGCCCACACCATTCTAGCGATAGTATTGGTCAGCGATCCATTATGTCGTTTTGTTTTACTGACCTATACAATGAGTCAACAATCTGTCGACTATTAGGCCTACACCTTCCGATAAAGCGTTTTTGATTTTTCTTCTTTTAGGCAGCGCGTATTAATCCTATAAGTACCACCAAAGTCAATAAGCTTTTTGATTATGCTGCCCAGAAATATATGTACATGAACTTTCAAGAAAGATACTCTATAACATTCAAACACATGAAAACCAGCCAATATCATTGGCAGAAGCCACTGGTCTCCATCCATGACAATCATTAAAACACATGAATCTAAGTCTGAGCTAGGGATTGTGTTCAACCAATCGCATGAAAAGTTACTTTCGTAACGTCATTTTTATTTGATAATGAAAATCAAATTTAAACTCAAGCTCTGCTATTTCTTATAATTTCCAGACCCGACTACAGTACATTCAAATTGACTACAATAGTCCCATCTAAGGCAAACCTTGTCTGGTCACCACTACCAGGTTGTGCACGTCCGCTATAGCCTATTTCCAACACAAGCTAACAGAAATATGCTTTACATAGAGTTAGTTGCCTGCCTTATATTAGTTTACTAGCTGGTTCGGGTCATTTTAGTCAAAATTGTAATATGAAGCAAATATGGCAAAATAGACTCTTCATGTAACATGTTAAATGTAACAAAGTATTTATATACTCGCCCAGAGTTGTAATCAGAGAGACGAAGCTTTGAGACGTCTCCTTTCTTTTTCTCTCTGAAACTGACTATAGTCACCAAATGATCGGTTGGCGGTCGTCGAAGTTTTTATGTGGCACGTGACCAGCCGAGGCCAACGCTATGCTCAGTTGAGACGAATAAACTAACAAACTGTTATAAACTAAAATGATTTGTTCAGCTGCGTCATTACCAAATTTGTATATCGAGAAAACAATTGAAATAACAATGAAGCGTGACTTGCACGAAAATAGTCCAAGAGAAGTAATTTATCTCAAAAACTTGAAAGCTTAACTGTTACAGACTATTGAGCTTATCACATGACGTCAAATTGTAATCTACTTTTGCACAAATACACCACCATAATTGTAGTGCTCAAAATCTCATAATACGGCCCGAAATGCCCCTCAACTCGGATATAGTTATCACTTTCTAAATTCCCTCTACTTAGAATAAGTATTATATAGGGGGAAAAAATGTCTTGAGACTTGTCGTGTTATTAAACACAGCAGGTATGTAGTGCCAGATTTAGGTCAAATGAGGCCTCCTGAAAGAGGTAGGCCTACACATGTAGTCATGCCTACATGCTCAAAAAATTTAGTAGTTAAAATATTACGTGTTACCTGACCAATCATTATTTTTACAATGAAAAATTCATCGTATTTCTTATTTCCAAGAAAATGGGCCCACTGGCCAAAAAGGGCTCTTTGCTGAAGCACAGCTAAGCATAATGGTAAATCCGGCAATGCAAGTATGGAAAGTTGGGGGATAGAAATATTGCATTTTAAAATTTTGTTTGGAACCAGTCTAACAGTCAATCCGTGTATCGGTCATTGACCATTCGAATGTGGTTGCACTTCTTATCGGTCCGTTTTTTGTTTTTTTTTGTACCGTATATTTTCGCTTATCGTCTCGCTAAAGGTAATTCGGTGCTTCTAAGCTAACTTCCTGTAAATGTAAAAATACACTCATTTCGGTGGTTATGGCAATTCCCACATAAAGGTCAGATATGGGGATAAAAATATTAAACAAATAAATATTTATGTATTTTATGAATCAGTATGTGTAATAACAAAATCTATTTCTCCCTTATAACTCTTGAAATCGAGCGATAGAGTTACATACTTAACAACTACTGATTAAGAGTCCTTTTACTGTCTAATGTGACGTCATGACATAACAAGCCAACAGCAATTATAGTAGAGGAGTAATGAAGGAATGGCTTGATTCAAAAGGTAAAAAAATGATTTATGAGTACCAAAGATGGTCAGAACATCGGGTCCAGTAAAAGAAAATAAAAGATCAGCATATTTGTCATTTTACTTTATAAATCTGAATTATACATGCGATGAAGAAATGGATCCAGTGCTGGATCATCAGTTAGCCAACAGGCATAGATCATTACTGCACCTTCTTCCTTTTTGTTCCAATAATACTATAGGCGATCAAATTATTACAAATACTTCTTGTCTCTGATCATTACACGAATTCATTTAAATTTAAGTGTGTTACTGTTGGCAAAATATCTCTATTACATATACAGAAGTGTTGCAATGGTAAAACACTGAACTCGCTACAGCAGACATTTATTTGCAGTGATTCGAGATTTACTTGATTCGAGGTCACATGCAAGTTTTGAACACTTTTGATGATTTTTATGTTTGTGATGGCTAAGTGTTTAGCGTTCCGGACACGTAACCGAAAGG